CCCCAAAACCCCAAAACCCCAAAACCCCAAAACCCCTCTAAAAATTAAAAAATTGATCAATTTTTGTGACGGCGATTAGCCCATTCTTGATGAAGAAAGATTCGGAATTAGATAAGAATAGGCAACTTCTATAAGCAGTACACCGATCTGATATAGAATTTCATGAATAAATGACAACTTATCAAAGGAAGGTTTATTAGAGCTTAATATTCAAGAAGAAAATGAATGCTAGGCTTTAAGAAATCCACTTTTGGTCTCTGTTAAATAAGAAGGATGCCTTCTTAGAGTCTTTCTTGACCGAGTAAAATCAAGGCCCTGGAACTTTGTTGATGATCTCATTAAACATCTTCTTCTTCTGACTTCCTATAATGCCGCCCTTAATCTTGGATGCTTTATTTGACTTGTATCTTCCAGGCCCAGGGATCTTAAAGGCTCTCTGTTTATTGAAAATTGGCGCACCAAATCTATCTGTGTTCTGAAGAGCAAAGTTTGAAGTGTAGATATCTCTTTTATTTATTCAGATTATGGCTGATATCTCCTTGATAGCTATACATTTAGAGTATAAAATTACGCTGGTGCATCTAAAGAAGTGTACGATGGGTTTCTAATATCCTCTGTACTTTGGGTAAAGTCCTGGCTCAGAGCTCCCTTGGTTCTAAAGGCTATAAGCAAGCATTCATACCGATATTTAATTTCTTCTAAAGTATCTCCAATTGTTTTATTAGGTATTCTGACTTGAACTCTCTTATTTCAGTTTTGTCATCTTTCTTGCATCTTCTTGTATGGTCTGATGGTTGTAGGAATATTTTAGAAAATTATAGTCATCATCACGAGAGAAGAGTCTTCTTTGTGATTTAGAATTGAAGACACTTTTATACTCATTCTTTATCTGCTCTGCCATTTCTTTCTTAGGTGAGTATTCTCCAGGTCCAGGATTATTCTTCTTAAAGTACAAATTAACAGTGAGGGGTAGAACATAATTTAACGGATTCTTCCCTTCAAGAGCTTTTATGTTTGGAGAACTACTCTTGTAACTGACTTTTCATATCGATTTATTTAGGTTTAGTAGTCTCGTAATCTCCAGGTCCAGGAGATTGCTCTAAGAATTAAGCAAAAATGTACCTTCTGACTGATACCTTTCATTGTGAGAGGCAAACCCATTAGTATATCCTCTCCTGCTAAATTTTGATTTGGGGGATCGAATTTTATAAGTCGCAGGACCAGGCTCTCTATTAAATCTCCTTTTCAAAAGTTTATTTAAACGAATGCTTATCACTACTTGAGTTAAACCCCTTTAATTTCTCTTTTAAAAACAGCACATGCTGATACTTCGTCGGAATACTCGCCTTAGAAGTTTGACCATACCCCCTAGTCTCTTTCACACCTCAACTCCCATTCCGCCCCTTCTTCCTCCCTATACCTCACCCCTTTGCCCTACCTTCCTGGACACCACTCTCTGCACCCCAATCTGCCTCCATGGCTTCCAGTCCCTTCTCCTGGTCACTCGGTCTCTTCTTCGACCCCACTCGTGTACCTGTTCCTGCATAAATTCCTTCTTCCATTTTCTGTGCTGGTCAAAATCTATATTTATAGAGTAAATTGGGGTTTTGGGGTTTTGGGGTTTTGGGGTTTTGGGG